ATTTTTAAATTGACATATACTCATATTTCTAAATGTATATTCTATTACAATGTATTATTATAACTGTCTCTCTTGAATATACATTTATATAAGGGTGAATTAAAAAGTGCATTTCCTTTTTGATATTAAAAGTATTTTACAAACACAAATTCACTGAATGAAACAGAAGAAGCTTTTAATCCAAACTAGAAATAATTACATCATTTTGCATTTAAAAATGTTGCAGTGGTCAGAATAAATAGGTGTGTCATTTCAACATTATGTTTAGTATTTTATGTATTTTTGACAATTTTAATTTCTTACTCTCTCTTTTCTTCTTCTTCTTTTTTTTTTGTAGAGTTGCGCCTTTTACTGGGGATTCACCTCGTGGATTGCCTACTACATAAATCACCCATGGTACACACCACCATGTAGGTTGGATTATATATTTTTTCTTAGAAATCCCAGATTAAATTACTAACACTAAATTACTAATAACTAAACATGATGCTCTAAACCATGTAAAGATTAAATACATAGAAACAGATTATATTAAAGAAATTAACAAATACTGCATAAATGATCATTTTAAATGATTTTTACATATTGTCTAATCAGTTTTTTATGTAACCCTAAAAGAAATAATAACCTGATGTAAATAAATTTATTTTTGTACCATAGAAACTCTAGCAAAAATATTATCACAGTAAATTGAAAGAGAACACTCCTAGAAAAATCACATAGTAATTAACTATCAGATATTTTAAAAGTAATATATATATATATATTTTTAAGTATTTATATATATTTATATATTTTACTCAATAATTTTATGTGTATAATTAGATAAATTATATATACAAACACTAATTATATACATATATGTATATATATATACATATATATATATAAGTTTAAATATATGTAAATTTCTAAAAGAGCCCTTGAAGCATTGTGGCTTACATGTTGGGCTACTAAAACCAAGGATGGAAGATGAGGCTTTCCAGTCCTGTAAAGAGTTACAGGCTCATTTACCTCAGGGGCAGCTATACTCTATCCTATAAAGTCCTTATGCATCAGAATTGTATTGATGGCTGCTTTGTTTTTGGGTTTATGCATCCAGATAGATAGATAGAAGAATTACATTTTGAAATACAATTTAATGGGGAAAAGTAAAAGTGACATTTTTTCACTGTGATATGTTTTCTATTGTAATTTACTAAATGCCTTAGCCTTTGGCTCAGAAATGATGCAATTTGGTGGATAGCATACGCACAAAACATAACTCTCCTCTCAAACACAGAGGTGTTAAAAATAAGATATATTTTGTTCAGAAAATTCCTTTTAAAAAAGCAATATCAGTATGGACGTCTCTTTTCTGCTATTACTAAAGTTTATATGGCGTACACTGCAAAGTCCCAGTGCTATAAGAATTGATGTTTCTAAATTAATATAAAATACTATTTGTGTTCTATTTCTTACGTTAATAAAAATTTAGATATGTAAATAAATTATGTGTAAATTTTCATTTTATATTTTATACATAATTAGAAATTGATGCATCAATATAATACCAGAGAGTATCTATGCTAGAATCAAATCTTATAGATCTTCATGTTAAGAGTTATTTATTATAATGTTCAAGATGCTAGCTCTTCTAAAATTAATGAAACCTTTACTATAAATATTATAGGACAAAAAATCCAAATCTTATATAACTGATATTTTTTCATTTAATTAGAAGTTAAAGTGATAAACTTCAGAACATTGACAGATAAAAATAATTTGCTCTAAGAAGAGAAGCCTCTACAAAGTGCAATATATACATTTCTGATTTTTTCAAATGACATTGATATTTCTCTTTCAATGTCATAAATGGATACAATGTTCAGTTCATATCATGGTATGAAATAAAATGAATATCTGAAAATTATCTTATGATTTATGTCATCTAAGAGAATAGATGTAAATTAGAACAAGGGAAACTGTGACAATTATAATACTACATGGTGGAAACAGGCATGCATATAACAGAGTAGATAGTACCTACATTTTATGAGGATTTCCTATATCAAGAACTGTGCTAAGCTATGTACACTTTGTAAAATCACATTACTAGAATTTCTATTTTAAAGGTTAGAAAACTAATTTTTAGAAGATGTAGGCAACTTTTTTAAATCCATCCAGTAAATAACTGATAAAGATTCTGTTCCCTAGACTTGTTGTTAGGTTAGCTGTCATCAAGTCTCATCCAAGCCATAGTGACTCTATCTATGTACACCAGAACACAATACTGCCCAGTCCTGTGCCGCCATTACAATTGTGCCTAGGCTTGAACCCAGTGTAGCAGCCGCTGTCAAGCCATCTCTTTGAGGGCCTTCCTGGTTTCCATTGCTGCTCCACCTTACCAAGCATGATGTCCTTGTTCTGGGATTGGTCTTTCCTGTCAGCATGTCCAAAATATGTAAGATGATGCCTTGCCATCTTTGCCTCTAAAGAGCCCTTTGGTCATACTTTTTCCAACACAGATCAGTTTGTCCTTGTAGTAGTTCATGATATTTTCAAGACTCTTCTCCAGAACCACAATTCAAATGCTTCTATTCTTTTTCAGCCTACTGTATTCAGTGTCTTTCACATGTCTTTTGAAATTGCCATGGTTTGGTATTTTAATCCTCAAAGCAACCATCATTGCTTTTCAATATTTTAAAAAGATCTTGTGCACCTAAAATTTACCCAATGCAATGCTTCTTTTGATCTGTTATTTATCTATCTATCCATTTATTTATCATTGGAATTTAATACATATATATCATTCCACAGTTGAAGGTGAAGCAGAATTATACAATTGCTACCACAATCAGTTTCTAAACATTCTTATTCCACATGACTCCCTGACATTGTCTCCTCTTCACCCCATCACTACCATTTAACCTAATCCCCCCAAACCTTTATTCTACTTGCTATATCTATAGGTTCATAAATCCTGGGTTTCATATACTGATAAATGGAAAAACATATAATGCAACTTCAAGAGCATGACCTCCAATAACATGATACCTCTGAGATGTACCCTATATGAATAAACAAAAAGACAAATCAAACAATAAAAATACCAAATACATAAATCCAGATAAAGTCCAGTAGGGATCTTAGGGAGGGAATCTACTGCCAAATTTTTACCATTAAAGTCACTATTTATGCCTTTGATCTTCTATACCAGTGGTTCTCAACCTGTGAGTCGCGACCCCTTTGGGGGTCAAACGACCATTTCACAGGGGTTTCCCAATTCATAACAGTAGCAAAATTAAAGTCAAGGAGTAGCAATGAAAATAAGTTTATGGTTTAGGGGTCCCCACACCATGTGGAACTGTATTAAAGGGTCGCGGCATGAGGAAGGTTGAGAACCACTGTTCTACATTCATCTCTCCAAAGCAGTCTGTTTAGTAAGCAATTTCCTCCATCCCTAAATTGTGGATAGAGGGAGTGCTCTGAAGATTTATGTCCTATGTAGTTCCACAAGTGAATCTTGGTCTTATACTCTCCATTATAGACTTCTTACAATTTAGGCTCTGATACTAGTGCTCCTTTGACTTTGCATTATATGGTTTATAATCCTTCAGTGACTGATGATGGTGTGCTTCTTCCATGTGCACTTAGTTGATATCCTGTTTAGGTGGCTATTTATTTGGAGACAAGCCTTTAAGACCCCAGACACTATTTTATCCGAAACCAACACTGTTTACCGGAACCCCGAGCACAACTTAATTCCTCCCACATTTTGCTACAGCACCTGTGTCTTGTGTTCTCTTCCTGAGGGCGAGTATCCAGCAGGCCCATGACATAAGAACAAAGTCTCCTTGAGTTCAAGCTAAGATTTAGTACACGCCCCAAACCCATTTCGGGATCTATGTTATTTTATTTTGTTTTGTCTTTCTTTTTATTTGTTATTACTTGGGAATTGATACATATGTCATATCATTCCATAGTTTAATCTTGTCAAACAGAATTGCTTCCATAATCAGTTTCCAAACCTACTTTTTATTTCTGGTCTCCTTGACATAGTCTTCCTTTTATTTCTACCACCACCACCACTTTTATCCCCCTTCCCAAACCCTTGTTCTATTTGCGATCCTTATAAGCTCATCAGTCCTGGGTTTCTTTTACAGGAAAACAGAAAAGCAACCCAAATTCAAGAGAGTGACTCCCAATAACATAGCATGTCTGAAATACACCCTAAATGAAAAAGTATAAACAAAATAGAACAGAATGTCTGTCACCAGTTTGTCAGAATGATACATAGCTTAACGCAGCATAGAGGGTATTGCTCTAGCAAGACCTGGTTTATCTGACTACCAACTGTTTACCACTCTCAGGACAGCTGTCTTCTGCTTCCTCGGACACCATGAATTCTCCAACTTAAGTTCTCAGGTTACAAGTGTGTCTGAGGTAGAGTCCTGTTCACCCAGTAGAGTTCCCACATAAGATCTCACTGGCACAACCTCTGGAGCATGCTGTGTGCCCTGAAGGTCCAGGATACTATGTCCCAGTGTTCCACAGCAGCTGGACTGGGTCCCTTTGAGACCCCCTCACCCCTGAGTTCAATGTGGTCCATTGATTGCATGTCATCAAAGACACTTCCCTCCTAGTGTCCCCAAAAGCATTTTGAGTCATTCTGCCATCATTCACATTTGAGTCACATCGCCATCATTCTTTTCTAGACATTTACTTTCTATTGATCAGGTTCTCTCTCCCCCCACCCCACCTCATGGCCCCTTGATAGATTATACATTGTTATTATTTTCATTTGTCACACAGACCGCTGTCTCCCTTTTCCTCTGATTTCTGTTGTTGTTCCCCCTGGATATGTGTGTGGTTATGTGCAATTCATTGTGATTGGTGCCCCCTCCCTCCCCCCTCCCAACCTCTCGCTCAACCCCCTACACTTTTAGTATTGCTATTCCCATTCCTGTTCTTGGGTTCTGTGTGTCATGAGTTGTATCTCTTGCCTATACCTGATTGACTCACCCCTCCCTGCAACTCTCTGTGGGGTATGTTCCATTGTCCACAGTTGGGCTTTGTGTACCTGCTCCCTTTTACTTTCCTCTTGTTCCACCATGTCCATGGCCGTCATTCATGTTAGTAATTCCTCGCTGCTACATTGCCCTTGATTAAGCCCCACTAGGCATTCTATGCCCTTCTCTCCACTGATTTTAGTTCTCTCATTCCCTTGTCCCTGGGTCGGTTCCCCTATCCCCTGGAACCATTGGTCCAGTTCTTTTCATCTCCGAATTATTTGTCCTGCCTATCTTATCTAGATAGACATGCAGATACATTAATAAATGCAAAAATCTGGAAAGCCAAATAAAACAACAAAGGAAGTCAAGACCAACAAAACAATAACAACAACAACAACAAAAAGAAAGCCACTTAC